GGCTGAGCATACGATGCCCCTGAGCACGAAGGTTTTTGGGTTTAGAGGTTTAGGGTTTACGGCGTCGGGTTAAGGGTCCAGGGTGTACTATACGATGTTTGGTTTGTTGCCAGAACTACCACTCGGGTGTTCCGGCGGCCCGCCGGCCCTGACTTCTTTAGTTTTGAGGCTCCAGAATGAGAGGGTTTAGGGTTTTAGGGTTTTGGGTTTAGGTAACCAGGAACCTCCCAGAAGACACGGCTCCAGGCAAGCCACTGACACTAAGGTTCTTTTTTGGGTTTCCAAGGCTTCGGAAGGCTTCGGGCGATCCAGCAAACACAACGCAAAGACCTCTCGTTAGCATCTCGGTTGCAGAGGTTTCGGGATGGAAGGCTTGAGGAATCTGCCGTCACTTTTTGCATAGTGACACTTTATATCTGCTACTAAGAATATGCGCTGTGTGACATGTGGTTTAGGCACCTGTCCACCAGCGGCCCCAGGAGCATGTAGTCAGTTGTTGAACAGCCAAAACCTGCACCCGCACTTCTGCAAGCTGCTGAGAGGCCGACCAGCACTGAGTGGGGAGCTTCTTCCCGGACCCAGCATCTACGGAGCCCAAACCGACGCCGGGGCCGTGCATCAATGAACTCCAGCGCAAGAGGGACTGCTTCTGCGAACTGCAGTATCCATAACAGCTGCATAAGATAACAAGATAACACAGGCCCAACTAGTCAAAAGACTGTGCCCTCCATGCCCTGGAAAACTGCACGGAGGTGCTCAAAGCTCAGAAGCAGACAGTAATGGATGAAGCGGGCAACTACTTGTATGATGTGGGAACACATCTTGCGCACACAGCCCCAAGCTGTACCGGCACGCAAGTTGTGCTCTCTCTCTCTCTCCTTCTTCTTCTTCTTCTTCTTCTTCTTCTTCTTCTTGTTCTTCTTCTTCTTCGTCTTCTTCTTCTTCTTCTACGGGAGAATCATAAAATATTCTAACAGTGTAAAGGTAAACCGGTAAAAACATATAATACACATTTAGCAGTATACTAACCCAATAAGACAAGAATGCAATAATGCATGATAACCAAGAATACCATAATAGGCAATACCAGAGTTCGGGTACCCAAACGCCGCAATTTTAGATGAAGCCACACATAGTCTTTTGGCCTGGTGCTCATCGTCGCTGCATTGCATGGGCCCTAGCTAGTGGCAACTGCGGGATCGAACCGGCATTGGTCGAAACACACTGACGTCGAAATCAGCGCAATGTGATTACAACCGGCAAGGGCCAGTTATAAGTAGGGATCCGTCGTTGCTACAGAATCTATACAGGAAGCATCTGGCAGCTCCGCATCAACAGCTGCGACGAGCACGTCGCTTTCGAACTCCTCTTCCTCCTGCTCAAGCGCGTTAGCATGTGTGTGTGTGTGTGTGCGCACGCACATTTTGAACTTTTTAAGTGCTTGGAGGGCCTAGATCCGAGCCGGCAACACTCCCGAGTCTCTTCAGCAAGTTCCACTCGAGCATGGGCTGGTAACATTGGACACCCTGAAGCGAAATAAACCCTAAACCCTAAACCCTGAAGCAGAATATTAGCATCTGACCAACGAGAACCGGCTGTGCAGGTTGCACCGCCCTGGCCGTTCATGAAACCAAACCCTAAACCCTAAACCCTAAACCCTAAACCCTAAACCCTAAACCCTAAACCCTAAACCCTAAACCCTAAACCCTAAACCCTAAACCCTAAACCTAAACCCTAGACCCTAGACCCTAGACCCTAAACCCTAAACCCTAAACCCTAAACCCTGACCGGCCTCTTCTTCTTCTTCCTCCTCTGCATAGTGTTGTTCCTGCGCTTGCGTGTAGACTCCAAATCTTAGAGGCTAGAGATTAAGGTTTGTGGCTTCGTTTCTTGGCAAACCAGCCCAGCATTTGCTTAAGAACCCCCCAACAAAATGAAGAATCGTAACCCTCATATGAGCGACCGTCAAAACTCTAGATGTCGAGCCTAGGTCGCGCTCTTTTCAATGTTCCCTCGCTTTTCAGTGTTCCCCGTGGCTCTAAAGGGTTCTTGACACTTCCGCACGCAAATGTCCTACAAAGATAAAACCGCAAAATTGCCATAGTTTTGCCCCTTGCTCCTATATTGCCCCTAACAAGGAAGAATATTCCTCTTTTTCTGCATATATTGCCCTAACAAGGAAGAAAATTCTTTTTTTGGGGGGGGCAAGTAGTCTTTGTTTGTTCCCCCTGCCTCAGAAGCCGGCCATTGGGGAGCTGAAGGGCCTGCAATTTGCAAGCCCTAAACCCTAATCCCTAAACCCTAAACCCTTTTGGAATCAAGGTTCAGGGTTCGGGGTTTAGGGTGTTGATGCCCCCCTGGTTCTTTGTGGGGAATGAGGGAATCGGGGCCCTCTATAAACACACATAAATCAATAAATGAATACATAAATAACTCTAAAAAAAGTATATATATATATATATATGCACGCCCTTTCAGGGATTATGTAGGGCCTTCATTCCCTCATTCTCTACTAAGAACCAGCCAGCCGAAGGGCCTCGTTTTTGGTGTTTTCCAGAAGGCAAAGCAGGTGTCAAACCGAATGGAAGACGAATCAACCACCCGACGGCCATTTCATGCCGGTCACCTGGTACCCCTCTGAGGCACCGACTCGGAGTTCAGGGTTTCGGGTTTAGACTTCCCAGGCTTTACATTCAAGCTCGGAAGGAACAAGACCCTAAACCCTAAACCCTAAGCCCTAAACCCTAAGTCCTAATCCCTAAACCCCAAAACCCTAAATTCACAAGGGCTCTTCACTTGTCAATGAATGCTCAACTCTCGAAGGAGCCTGCCGCCGAAGGCGGGGGCCGGCCCTTGATCCGCACCTCCTGCCCAGCAGCCTGGTTCTGCAGAGTGTTCGTGTGTGAGAGAGAGAGAGAGACATATAGATTGATATATATATATATATATGGTTCAGCGTCGAGCGTCCTGGGCCCCCCCCCCCCCATGGTATCCCCCCCCCCCCCAAGCCTACTCTACGGTCCCTAAACCCTAAACCCTAAACCCTAAACCCTAAACCCCTAAACCCTAAACCCTAAACCCTAAACCCTAAAACCTAAACCCTAACCCTAAACCCTAAACCTTAAGTCTTAAACCTTAAACCCTAAACCCTAAAACCCTGAACCCTAAACCCTAACCCTAAAACCAACCCCCAACCACACCACAGGGGGGGGGGACATCTTAGTACCCCATCCGCGGGGAAAACCCTAAACCCTAAACCCTAAAACCCTAAACCCTAAAACCCTAAACCGTAAACCCTAAACCCTAAACCCTAAAACCCTAAAACCCTAAAACCCTAAACCCTAAACCCTAAACCCTAAACCCTAAAACCCTAAAACCAACCCCCAACCACCACAGGGGGGGGGGGGGGGGGGGGGGCGGTACCAGGGGGGGGGGGGGGGGGGGGGGGTAGGGGGGAGGGGGGGGGGGCCCGCCGGGGCTGAATCCCAAACAGTAAGCATCTGAAACCCCGATGGGTTTTGGTTTCAGGTTTAGATTTAGTAGGGCTCGAGGTTCCGGCTTTGGGGTTTACTGTTTAGGGTTTAGGGTTTAGTGTTCAGGGTTTAGTGTCTAACGTTTAGGGTTTAGTTTGAAATGTTTAAGGTTTACTTTTTGGGTTAAGTGCTAAAGTGTTTAGGGTTTCGTGCTAAGTGTTTGGGGTTTGTGCTAAGGGCTTAGTATTAAGCTTTAGGGTTAGTGTTTAGGGTTTAGTGTTAAGGGTTTCGGGTTTGGTTTTTTAGGGTTAAGGGTTTTAAGGATTTTTACAAATTTAAATGACCTGGGGAAGGCAACGGGGCTTCTCCAGACCATTGACAACTTGAAAATCCTTCTGTTTAGGGTTTAGGGTTCAGTTTTCAGGGTTTAGTGTGTAGGGTTTAGTGTGTAATGTTTAGGGCATAGTTTTTAGGGTGTAGTGTTTAAGTGTTTTGGGTTTAGTGTTTAGAAAGGGATTAGTGCTTAAGTGTTTAGGGTTTCGTGTTCAGTGTTTGGGGCTCGTGCTAAGGGCTTAGTGTTAAGCTTTTAGGCTTAGTGTTAAGGGTCTACTTCTGAGTGTTTAGGGTTCAGTGCTAAGGGTTTCGGTTTCTTTTTTGGGTTACGGGTTTTAAGGGTTTTTACTAGTGTTCAGGGTTTAGTGTGTAGGGTTTAGTGTGTAATGTTTAGGGTTTAGTTTTTAGGGTGTAGTGTTTAAGGGTTTAGGGTTTAGTGTTCAGGGTCTAGTGCTTAAGTGTTTAGGGTTTCCTGTTCAGTGTTTGGGGTTTGTGCTAAGGGCTTAGTCTTAAGTTTTTAGGGTTCGTGTTTAGGGTCTGGTGCTGAGTTTTTAGGGTTTAGTAGTGCTTATGTGTTTAGGGTTTCGTGTCAAGTGTTTGGGGTTCGTGGGCCTAGTGTTAAGTGTTTTAGGGTTACTCTTTAGGGTCTAGTGCTGAGTGTTTCGGGTTTAGTGTTAAGGGTTTCGGGTTTGGTTTTTTGGATTAAGGGTTTTAAGGATTTTTACTAGTGTTCAGGGTTTAGTGTGTAGGGTTTAGTGTGTAATGTTTAGGGTTTAGTGTTTAGGGTTTAGTTTTTAGGGTCGGGTGTAGTGTTTACGTGTTTAGGGTTTAGTGTTTAGGGTCTAGTTACATGTTTAGGGTTTCATGTTAAGTGTTTGGGGTTTGTGCTAAGGGCTTAGTGTTAAGTGTTTAGGGTTAGTGTTTAGGCTTTCATGTTAAGTGTTTGGGGTTTGTGCTACGGGCTTAGTGTTAAGTTTTTAGGGTTAAGGGTCTAAGGGTTTTTGCAAGTTTACATGATCTGGGGAAGGCACTGGGGCTTCCCCAGACCATCTAAACTTTGAAAATCCTTAAAATCTTATAAAAATCTTTAAGCTTCTGTTTAAACATTCTCAGGATTTTGAAGGTTTTAAGGCTTTTAAGCCTATTAAAGACCTTAAATTGCTTACGTATTTAAGTGGCTGCCCTTTGCGGATTTTAGAGATTTTTGAAGTTGCCAATGGTCTGGAGAAGCCCCGGTGCCTTCCCCAGACCATATAGATTTTTACAAATCCGTAAAACCCTGAAATTCTTGCAGTTGTAAATGGCTGTCCTTTTGAAGTTTAAAGTTTTTAGGATGTTCGATTCTAAAATCCGTAACTTCCTTAATTTTAAACGGCTGCCCGTTTTTAATTTTTAAGGAATTTTAGACTTTTAAGGGATAAACGCTTCGAGGTTTTTAAGGGCTTTAAAGCCTTTTAAGATCCTCTAAATCTTGAAATTTTTGAAAGGCTTTAAGTACCTTAAAACCCTTCAAATTTGAAAAGGGCTGCCCCTTTAAAGGATTTTTAAAATTGCAAATGGTCTGGGGAAGCCCCGGTGCCTTCCACAGATCATCTACATTTTACAAACCCCTTAAACCCTGAAAAGCCTTAAACTTCTAATTGCTACCCTTCTAAAATTTCATGGGGCCGCAAGACACAAGTTTCAGAAGCAAAATGCCCATAAAAACACTAGTGTTTTTATAGAGGATAATATACTAGAGCTTTTTGTATTCCAGTGCAGTTTTGACTGCATTTTTCCGAGGAAAAAGCAGAAAATCAGACAAAGACGAAGACAAGAAAACCATAGGTGTGGATCATGGGGGGGGGGGGGGGCTGACCATATATTTATTTATGTGAAATTTATTATTATTATTATTATTATTATTATTATTATTATTATTATTATTATTATTATTATTATTATTATTATTATTATTATTATATATATATATATATAGAATTATATATGTATAATTATATATAATTATATATATATATGTGTGTGTAGCCCTTCGAAGGTCCACGGTGTGTTTAACAGTTTTAGGTGTACCCGAACAAAGGTTGTTGAAAACGACGACAAAGACAAAGAACTACCCATGAACAGTATCTAGATTTCTGTTTTCTATAATGAATTAACCGCATGGTTGCTTCTGCTCTTGTGCCGCACGCAGCAAGCCATGCCTAATGGTCAAACACAAGTCGCCCAGCTCCGAGAACCCTCCCCCTCAGCTTGGGATGCTCCCCTTATACTAAGAGTCCTCAATAGGGGTTATAATGGGGGGGGGGGAGGGTTGTACTAGAATACCCGAAACCCTTTTGCATAAACCCTAAACCCGAATGCCTATTAAGGACTGTTAGCATAAGGGGGAACATCCCTACCCTCAGCTCTTTTTTGGCATCTGAAGGTCGGGTAGATAAATGTGGTATATAGTCGATAGGACATGTTCTCAGAAGCAGGACAGCCAAGGGTTTAGGGTTTAGAGTTAAGGGTTTAGGGTGTTGCTGCGTTCTTTACAACTGCACTGCACGGCACTTGACGATCGAGATTGAAGCTGTTGGGCATTTGGCTCGTCCTGCACGGCAAGTGTGGCTCGACCCATAGGGACTTCGCGCCCAAGAACCCCAGACCGGGATTTGCGAAGTGATGCAGGAGTGACTGAGCCGCTGAACGTCAACACCTTCATAAAGTCAGAACAACGATATTCAACCGAGGGTCCCTCCTACAATGCTCCGGGTTGGCTGGAGAAGCACGATTGCCCACGCTGGCGCTTCGCGCAGCGTCAGGCCTGAGCCTGTGCGTTTGCAGAGCAAGGTCTCGACGAGCGTGCGCAGGGCGAAGTTGAGAATAACCCTAATAAAGCCTAGAACCATAGAATAACTGAATATCCCTAAAGCCTACAACCCTGGATTTTATAAAGCCCTATATGAGTAGAACCCTAGCATAACCCTTATAATAGGCCTTACAAGCCCTAGAACCCTGAAAAGCATCGACCTCGGCTCACAAAGAACAAGGCAGCGCTATGGCCACTACATGGAGCACGGCAGCGCTCTTTAAACGGAAGCATGAACAACACCCAAAAAGGCACGTGTTCCTGCCTGAAGTTCTGAAGTTGCATTCAAAAATTGGGTCCTACCTTAGGTGAAGACCCTGTGGCCGGATGGCCGGCGCATTTCGGTCGGTTCGACGGCAGGTTTTCGGCTGATGTCGACTGGCACACAATGGCTGCAATAGGATATGATGGGACCATATGGGACCAATTTGCATACTTGCGGAGGAGCATTGAACAACTGCCTCAAGCCAACAATGCTGCGCGCGTGCCAGCGTCTCGCATGTTGGAGCTCTGCTGACGTTGAAAAACCTACACTCACGGATACATTAGTGGTCCGAGAGCAAAGCTGCACTGACTGCATGCCTCCCGAGGCATGAGCCACAAGCACAAACAAGTTGTTCATGGCGGTGTTCGGTGTTCGCCGAACCTTGAAACTGAAACTGCCGCTTGTCAAGCAGCTCTTCTGGCACACGCCTGCCGACAACAAAATTGTAGCCACCGTGCTATTTAGATGAGAAGAGGGAGTTCGCGGCAGAATGCCCGATGACACTTTGATTGTCCACGCTGGGCTTCTGGTCAGCAATTTCTCCTGGTTCACCCTGATTATTCATTGTTCGGATAATATGCACTCCATATCTACCTTTGTCTACCGACGTTTGGAGACTTGCCCTGAGCCCAGGCGGGAGCTCACTGACCTTCTTTGAGTTCAGAATGGTCCGTGCACGGAAACGGGGTTCTGGGTCATTCACTTGACACTGTAGGGCGTGTCGTTCAAGACCTCTCCAGGCTCGGTCTCCTCCTGAGCGAGGTCGTAGGCTTGGTCGTCGGGTTCGGTCACGCTCAGGCCCTCCTCACCATTCGCTTCGGTCTCGAGTGCGTGGCCCTGTTCATGGTGTCCATGGTCATGGTCACGTTGCACGGATCCGTGTGCAGAGGACATGGCTGTGCCACCGCCGGAACCCCCGCCGGAAGCGCTGGCCGAGCGGACGCCAAGCTTGACCGCCATGTCCACCATGAGCCTGTCCATCTCCTCGAACTTGGTCATCGTCAGCCTCTCCAAGCGGCCCACTGCACTGTCATCCAAGGCATCCTCGAGATTCGGCCACGGCAGTGACGGGTTCGCGAGCCCTCCGAAACGCTGCACTCGGTCCAGCTCCACAGCCGGATACTGCAGATATTCGTACGGGCTCTCGAGCGTGGGCACAGCACCTTTGGGGCCGTTGTCGCCTTCGTCCAGTTCGCAAGCATCCCCCAGACGCAAAGACTCCACGAAACGTCCCCAGCGGCGCTTGGAGATCAAAGGCATGGATGTTTCGTAGATAATGATGCCTCGCGTCAATCGGGCGTTGCCCCTTGCATTGTGGAAGATCTCATTGTAGCGCTGGCACAGCTGGGCCACCATGAGATTCATCAGGTACACGTGCCAGCAGGCTGCAAATGCCAGAACGAACCACTGCAACATCGGCTCCCCGGCCGTCGCAATTTCCTCGTAGTTGCCGCTGCCGTAGGTGTTGACAGCCATGGCCAGCATGTTTTCGAAGGCGGCAAGCATGTTCCCAAAGTCCCGGCTCTGTATAGACTCTGCTGCGCCAAACTGAGGCAAACATGCGACTCCGGCGGCAAATGTTGCTGCAAAGAAGACCAGAACTGCGATGTACAGGAGAAACTCCCACCACAGGCTTGCACAAATCACGCTGAAGACGGAGAGCTGCACATTGAGGTGGACCAGCTCGGAGGCCAGGATGAAGTAGAGGAGCATCGGGAAGGCGGCAAGGCGGTTGTAGAAGTTGCCCAGGCTGCAGTACCACTCCCCGTGGTCGCAACATTCCACACGCAACTCGCCACTCACAGACATGCAGTGCAATACAGGTTCGCAGCAAAGCATGGCAAACAGGAGGACCAGAAGTACCACTTCCGTCATCTCCTGACCGGACTGCAGCAAGTAGGATGGCAAGTGGCAGCGCCAAACGAAGCGTTTGGTTTTCTTGGCACGAAGGGCCCGGAAACTCTGCACCGCGTGCTTCACCAGCAGTTGGCCGAGACTGACAAGATACAAGGCAGCTCGGCAAGCGATAACAACGTATCGCTGTGAGCTGCCGGCATCATGTGCTACGATGCCGTTCTGCTCCGCAACAACGAACAGGATAAGGGTCACACAGAACCATGCTTTGGTGATGGCCCATGGCAGGACGCAGAGCCGAGTCCACAGCAAATCGGCCTGGAAAACGGCAGAAGGGTGACAAACGATCTCAGGATCTCCGTGTTTGATCAGGTCCAGGAGGGAAGTGGTAAGCTGGCCCTCATCACCAACCAACATGGAGCTGATGTAGTAGTTCACACGCCGCATGCCTTGCTTCACATTCTTGGAACGCCAAATCAACCCATCCAGCACCGTCGTGAGCAGCGAGGGTGCCTTGTTGCAAAGCAGCGGGATGATGTCTGGGTGGCGGCTCCAGATCGCTTCCATTCCGTAGTAGTAGCGGGCACGATCCGCACGCATGGTGAGCAAGTCCTTCAAGATTGCCCCGGCAGACTCCAAAGCCCCTTTCTCCACAGCCCATACCAGTGGCGACATGGACTCGGTGCCCACCTGGACACGGAGCAAAACCACATCGCGCTGCCCTCGAGGTGCATTTGACACGGCCGTGTTCAGCACTTTGGTGTTGTTCTTGTTGATGGCGATAATCACTGGAGTGGAGCCTTCTGCCAAGGTCCGAATGAAGATTCGGCCGATCAGGTCCAAGGTCCACCAGAGCCCGTCATGTATGCTCGTGTCCGGAACCGCCTCCTTGATGGAAGTCATGAACGCTTCAACAAAGGGGCGCACCAAATCCTCTGGAACTCCATGGCCCGCGTGTAGCAGGCCCAGCGCAGAGATAGCAATGACCGCCTTGTGCGTCTTGGTGTAGATGTCGGACATGATGTTCAACACCCGTCCCATGATGTACTGCAAGCGCTTGTTTGCCGCCCGCAGGTACAGCTGAGATTCCTCGCAAGTTGAAAAGAATGTGTCGAAGACCTGGAGTTTGAAAGTGGCCAGGGCATCTTCGTCCAAGCGGGAGAGAAACGTTCTCAAACACTGCTGGTTGCGTATCGGAACCTGTCGGATCAACTCCACCTTCTTCTCCTTACTTGTCCATTTTCTAAGGGGGAAGCTAGAGACGACCTCGGGTGCTACATAGAGACTACAAGTACTGCCGAAGACAAGTTAAAGAATACAGGGACATCCTTGCCAGCCAAGTCTCCACGCAAGTCCAGAACCATGACCAGGCGTTCTCGTGCTCGAGACTCCAGGCGGTGGGCAGAAGCGACCTCAAGCTGGCGAACATCACGGAGCGAAACTCGTTGAGATTGACCTTGTCATAGTGGGCCAAGGTCAAAGCAAGCACATCGCACTCCTCCTGGACGCGGTCGATGTTGCCGATGTGCGGCACCAACGACTCCATGGAGTAAAGCAGATCGGCAAACCACATGCGGTCCCCAATGCCCATGACTGAGGCATTGAAACGCGCCATTGCTGCGAAGGTCTTGGGGATGTTCATGTTGGAGTTGTCCTGCCAGCTCGTATGGCGCTCGTCGTCGCCCTTCTCCATGGAACTGAGGTCCTGATCTTTGTGCTCCTTTGGCGAACCCTCCTGTGAAGCATGTGAAGCAGGGTGCTCATCCTTACCATCGTGGCCTTCCTCCTCGTGCTCCTCTGCCTTCTCCTCATCGGTGGCATTCCTTACTTCTCCACACTTTCTCCAACAACCCAAAAAGAAAAGCGATTCTACTCCTGCAAACCGCAAAATCTGTATTCCCACAAAAGAAGGAACCAAAGAAACTTGAAGATTGGCACCCTAAACCCTAAACCCCAAAACCCAAACCCCAAACCCTAAACCCTAAACCCTAAACCCTGACAAGATTCACCTCCTTCCAGCAGCCGGTGAGAAGGCGAAGCCGGTCCGCATAGTGCTCGTGAGTGTTCGCCAAAGAGATGCCAACAGCCTGAGCTCGGGGACTAAAGGAGGGACCCTTATCAATTTAGGGTTTAGGCTTTAGGGTTTAGGGTTACTAAAGGAGGGACTTGGGATGTTCCCCCCTTGTACTAACAATCCGTGGGGATTATAATAGGGGGTACTATGATCCCTATTAAGGAGCCAAGCAGCGGTGACAACCTGGCTAAGCCCAAATTGAAACTCCGCAGTCATGAGCCCACCCAGCTTCTTGGCACAAATTTCCAAGAGGATGCCTTTGAAGACCTCGACGTCCGCCGGAGTGATGTCGGCATTCATGTGGCGCAGGGCAATGTACTCCAAACGGTCCTGGACGATCTTGGGGTCACTCAGAGCTTGCATCAACGCATCAAGCAGGTGCCACACGGTGCTGGACCGTTTCAGCATGCCCTCGGTTTTGGGCAAGGCGTCCTTCAGCTGGCGGAAGACCACATCACCGGCTTCTCGTGGTCCCCCCAGCCGCTTCTCAACCGTTTCCCAACCATTTTGGACCTCTTTGATGGTGTACTCATCAAGCTCGATCTTGGAAAGCAGCTTCGATGCCTCTTCCATCACGTCGGCACTCACGCTGGCACTGAGGAGGCTTTAAAAGCAAAGTTGAGAGAAGCCTGAACCCTGTGAAGATGCGCCGCTTGCGAGACCCTATATAAAAGTTGGTCCAGCACGTGCTCTTGGTTGGTCACGGGGTTCTGGCTGTCCCTGTCGGAAATGCTAGCTCCTTCAAAGTGGGAGACCTCTTGTCTGCCAGCGGAAAAAACTCTGGACTGAGCCGTACAAGTAGGTTTCAGGTCAGGGCGGTAAGCAAAGATGAGCACCCGGAAAGGCTTCAACAGAATGAGGTACCCGCAGGCACACGTGCGCAGGGCAAACTGCATGCTGCACAACCCTAAACCCTACGAGTAAAACCCTAAACCCTATAGACCCTAAACAACCCGAAACCCTAAACCCTAAACACGCGAAACCGAGCCGGGACGCCTTGGCGATGCTGGAGGCCGAGTACCTGTGGAGGATGCTTCTCGCACTGCGCGGCTCCTGGGCGAGCGGCTAGAGCTAGGGCACCCTAAACCCTAAACCCTAAACCCTAAACCCTAAACCCTAGGCTCCGAAGGCTCCCAGGGCTTACGACAATGCTTGGAGGGTTTTGGTGGTGTGTGGTTTGAGGCGGTTTGGGCATTACGGGCGCGGGGCCAGCTTCGTGGCTCTGGTGGTGATGCGAAAACGAATCCCTAAACCTTGATTCCAAAAGGGTTTAGGGTTTAGGGTTTAGGGTTTAGGGAAATATTTCGGTTGTCTAGGGCTCAGCCCATGCCTACGCAGCTGATGGCGGGTTGGCCTGCTTTTCTTGCGAGGGGGGGTATACAGTATACATTGTTCCGGGCGGTGGTGCAGGCCTGTTCAATTCTTTGTGGAGGCAGCATTGTCGGTTACTCCTTCAGGGCCCGTTCCCGTGCCCTAGGAATACTCGAGGTTTGGGGGGGGGGGGGGTCCACGCCTTGTGATACCCTCCTACAAGTAAAACAACCCCCCCCCCCCTCCCCAACAATAAACATCCCTCAACTGCTATCAGTGTACGGCAGTGGGAACATTCAATGCTTGGTCAGGGGCGGGGGCGGGGGGGGGGGGGGGGGG